CTGCAGCCCTGCCTACCTCATCCTCGCAGTACTTGCGAATCACCTCCAGGGCACTCTCCGTGATCAGGGGCGCCTCCAGCACAACCTTGGTGAAGATCCTGCCAGAGGGAGGGACAGGGAGTGGCTGCAGCGAGGCTGCCTGGCCCCCCAGTTCTGTGAACCACAGAGCTCAGAGGCCGCGACGCACGCAGCCCACTTAGAGTTCTGAGGGCAGCAGAGCAGGGTTCAAACGCTGTCAGCTGGGTGACCTGGGAGGAGACTTCACCGCTCTGAAACTCAGTTTCTCCCCTTTGTCAATTGGGGACTCCTAGTGCTACTCATTTAACACAGCAACAGCAGGGAAAGATGGGGGAGGGAGGAGTTTGCTATTTTAGATGTGGAGGCCACAAAAGAGATAACAACGGAGTCAACGCTGGTGGGTGAGAAGGAGTCAGCCATGCGGTGTGGGGAGAGCATTCCAGGTAGAGAGAACAGGAAGTACCAAGCCCTGAACTTGGCATGTTCAAGAAATAGATGACAGAGGCCAGCGTGGTGAAAGTATGGGGGTGGCAAGGAGCAGAGGGGCAAAAAAAAAGAGCCTAAAGAGGTAGGTAGGGATTGGATTCCACAAGGCCCCAGGGCATGGGAAGGCCCCTGCAATTCATGCCGAGAGCAATGGAGAGCCAGGGAAGGGTTTCAGTGGACAAGCAACAAGCCAGGATTTGCATTGCACAGTGTCCCCTGGTTGCTGGGTGGAGAATGGACAGATAAGCTGGAGGCTGAGAACACAGAGGCAGGCACACAACCGGTTCCGGCGAGAGATGGGCCGGCACTGCTATTTACAGGTGGGAAAAGGAGGCCCAAGGAGTGAGTGACAGGCTCAGTCAGGTGCAAACAGCAGAGCTGGAGCTCAAGCCCCCGAGGGGTGTGGCCAGAGCCCACACCGAGCGCCCTTCTATGGGCCTCCAGCCAGTGGGAGAGAAGGGAGAAGGACGGACACACGCAGGGCTGACTGGGTGGCGGGGAGAGGGAGGTGCCGGGAACTGGAAAGGAAAGCCGGGACGCAGGAGGGGGCTGCTTGGGGGCAGGAGGGTGCAGGGCCGCCCTCTCACCCATCCTTCTGGTCTGGCTTCTCCTGCAGGCCGGAGAGCAGGCGGATGAGGCAGTCCTCGTACTTGTCCAGGGAGCCCGAGGTACCGGCTGCGAGGTAGGCGTTGTACTCCTGGTAGAGCCAGGCGAAGGCCAGGTCCAGGCGGGCCCGTACGTCCTCCAGAATGAAGGACAGGACCTCAGCCTTCAGGCCCGAGTCGAACTGCGTCACGAGGCTGGCCAGGATCTTTATGCGCACCTGACAGGAGAGCGAGCGCGTGGGCATGCGGTGGGCAACCCCCGCCCAGGCTCAGCGCACCCAGTGCAGACCCCAGGTTAAGTGAGGAAGGCCAGGTGAAGAGCCTTATGCCCAGCAGGTCCCATTTTGGGAGAAACAAATGAAAAGGAGAAAAAGAGTCAATCATCATAGAATAAAATGAGTTTCTAAGAGCAGGACCCATGCACTTAAATACACCGAAAAAGATCTTGAAGGATTCCCGAAAAAATCAAACATAGAATAAAATGAGTTTCTAAGAGCAGGACCCATGCACTTAAATACACCGAAAAAGATCTTGAAGGATTCCCGAATTTGCCTCGGGAGGGGGATGGGGTGCAGATATCTCTATAGGCTGGAGTTCTTTATAAATTTCTTTTCTTTTTTTTAAAAATAGACTTTTATTGATTTTAGAGAGAGAAAGGGAGAGGAAAAGAGAAACACCAATGGTTTGCCTACCTTCTACAACCCGATTGGTGATTGAACCTGACACCCGGGCATGTCTCCCAACCAGGAATTGAACGGAGACCTGTTGGTGCCCGGGAGGACGCTCAGCCGACTGAGCCACACCCACCAGGGCCAGAGACCTTTTCTAACAGAGTGTTTATATACTACTTGGTTAATGAAACAAACCTGCCTGGCCAGGTGGCTTATCGGGTTGGAGCACTGTCCTGTACACCAGAAGGTTGCAGGTTCGGTTCCGGTTAAGGGCACATGCCTGGGTTGCGGGCTCGATCCCCAGTAGGGGACGTGCAGGAGGCAGCCAATCAATGATTCTCTCTCATCATTGATGTTTCTCTCTCTCTTTCCCTCTCCCTTCCTCTCTGAAATCAATAAAGATATTTTTTTTTAAAA